CGGGCAGGTCTCGAACCCACGGGCTCAGGCAATCCACTCACCTCAGCTTCCCAAAGCGTGGGATTACAGGCTGAGCCACCAAGCCCGACTCAGGATGGACTTTAAATGTACATACCCAGACCCCTAGGCTTCTTGAATCTGAGTATTATCAGTAAAACCTAGGAATCTGTATTCTTCCCATGAATCTTGTGAGTATTCAAGTCAGAGACCATTGATCTAGGTACTTGGAGAATGTCACCAGGACTGTGATGAAGGAACCAGCAGGTGTGATCTCATAGGCACTGCAGATGATCTTTGAGAAATTCCTGAGTACAGACATGGGTCAATAGTGCCCCAATTTCAAAAATTAGAAAAGACTAGATGCCAGAAGTCACAGACTTATAGGCCAGACATGACCTCTGGAAAAATTCAGCCTGAAACAGATGAAGTCAAAGCATTTCTAGGAAAACGTGATCATCACTACTCATCATCATGGATTCACTAAAACATTGCCTCTATTAGAGATTGTCAAACTTTACTACATATTAGAATCTGGGAAACTTTTAAAAAATCTTGATGTCCATCCGTACCCAATACCAATTACGTCAGTTTCTTCGGTGGGGGAGGGGGCACAGGCCTCAGTACTTTTTAAGGCCACAGAGATTCTGACTTAATGAGGTTTCTGACTTAATCAGATTCTGGCTGAGTAATGGAAATTTAAAAATCTCCCCAAGTGATTCTAATATGCAACGAAGTTTGACAACCACAAGTTTATATGACATTAGATAAGTTGTTTTACTTCCTCGCACTTTGTGTAAGTACTTAGGTCATTTTAAAGGTCTCCCCTGGCCGGGCTCGGTGTCTCAGCCTGTAATCCTGCGCCTTGGGAGGCAGAAGTGAGTGGACTGCCTGAGCCCGCAGGTTCAAGACCCGCCTGGGCAACTTGGCGAGACCTCATCTCTACAATAAAATCAAAAATTAGCTGGGTGTGGTAGCGCGCGCCTGTAGTTCAAGCTACTCGGAAGGCGGAGGCGGAAAGATCGCCGGAGCCCAGCAGGTCGAGGCTGTGGTGGCCGGGAGCGGCCACTGCACTCCAGTCTGGGTGACAGAGTGAGACGCCAACTCAAAAAATAAAAAATAAAAAAAAATTAAGGTCTCTCCCATCTTTAAACTTTTATGATTCTGTTCTTAAGAATCATGCCAGCCGGGCTCGGTGACTCAGCCTGTAATCCCGCGCCTTTGGGAGGCTGAGGTGAGTGGATTGCCTGAGCCCGCGGGTTCGAGACCCGCCTGGGCAGCAAGTCCTCATCTTTACAATAAATCAAAAAATCAGCTGGGCGTGGTAGCGCGTGCCTGTAATTCCGGCTACTCGGAAGGCTGAGGCCGGAAGTGCAGCAGGTCGAGGCTGCGGTGTCCGGGAGCCACTGCACTCCAGTCTGGGCGACAGAGTGAGACTCCAACTCAAAAAAAAAAAAAAAAAAAGAATCACGCCAAACTGATTTCCTTTCTTCCTTCCTCCCTCCCTCCCTTCCTTTTTACCTTCTCCTTTTCTTTTTCTTCTTTTGCTGGGATAGGCTGGAATGCTAGGGTCTAAAAATAGATATTGTAATTTTATTAAAATATTTAGTATATTTTCCCAGCATGTCTCACGGATAAATAAGGTGATAGTTATGATAGGTGAATTTACCACCTAACTGAACACATATGCTCAGAGTATGAATGTAATGGAACTGAGGGGACCCTGGAGAATTGTTTGGAATGGAATGCCACAAGGTTTATTCTGCCCTTTTACCTGACCTTGTTAACATTCTTTATTCATGATGTAGCTAAGAAAGACAAGAAAGAAATGTCTATCAAATTTGAAAATAACCCAAAGTTTAGGAGGGTTAATTAATTCAATACATAAAGAATCCAGCCCAACTGTGATCAGAAAATCTATTTATTAAGCTTATTATTTTTAAAAAAAGTTTCATAGTTCAAATATTTTGCTTATTTTAGTTTTCCCTTTCTTTAGTTGAGTTGAAATCTGGAAGTTAATGAAAACATAGATATGTCCATTGTTCGCTGACTTTGTTCCTATCACAAAATGCAAATATATTAGATCGGGCTGGTTTGGAGCATCACAAGACAAAGGAAACATCACCCCAAAAAGCAATGAGACAGTATACTTGCAGAAAAGAATTTTGTTGAAAACTCCCATCAAATGATTATGGAAGTCAGGGAGCTCATCAGAAGGCCCACTGAACACGAGGTTAGGCTTCAGAGGGACCTCGGCAATGCCAGAAGAGCTTGTTTGAAAAGGGCATCCACAGATTAGGATTCCTAAATTGAGGGAGAGTCTTGAGCCTCCTTTTTGTTAAACAAGTGACCCCCACTTATTCTGAGAAATATTATCAAAGAACACACTTTGAATTATCGCATAATTGTTTAAATATGTTTTTGTCTCAAGACCTCCAGTTTGTGTTTTTAAAAGCCCAGGTAGATTGAATTACTTGGAGGTTAAAACCAAAAGAGTTAATTATATCAGCTCCTCCACAAACCATTCCCTATATTATTTTCATTTTTAATGCTTTATTTTATTCAGCGCTTGATCTGACCTAGACATTGGGAAACTATCATTTATGTGTAGCAGACAAGCAATCTATAGCTGCTGTGGAGCTGCTGCTGTGTTTTGGAAAATAAACCAGGATTACATTATGTCTGATCACTTTCCATATTACATGATGAACAGCGATTCAGAAGAAGCATAAAATGAATCCCGCCGAGCAGCCCCTTAGCTACCATGTTGTTAACTGGCGGTTTCCTTCCCTCCCTCCTATGTCTTCCTCATTAGTGTCTATGACTGAAGAGGATCAGCTAAGAGTGGTTCCTTGCAGCTTAAAGGAAGGGATTTTTCACACTCTGTCTTGGTATCAGAAGTTGAATTCATGAACACAATTTAGACAGAAGTCATGGGATGTAGCAGTTCTTCATCGAAAGACAAAAGATCTGAGACAAGTGAGTACTGGGAACATACTTATGCTTATGAATGAAAGGGGCGATTGAGCCAGATTCACCCTTTCCCACTTTATAATTTACTCCCATGGTTCTCAAGCTGCCCTGTGTGATTTTGCACAATGCATCATCACTTGAACTGAAGGTGAAATATTGGGGAAGCACGGGAAACTACCTTTAGGAAGATGTAGCTTTGGCTTTAAGATGTACCATAAAGTATTACCTAAGACATATTTTATACTTGATTTAATTTCAGTTGAAAAGTATTAATGTAAAATCTCAATTTAAAATTCAGTGCAGGGAATAAGAAACATACTGTAATTTATATCTGTTTCTTCAATACTCTTATAAATAGCTATATCCATATCTATGTGACATTTAGTAGCATCATCAAATTTTTATTAGATTTTGTAACTCAGAGGTCACATTATTTTTTATATTTATTCAACACATGAGACTTGCCTCATGCTTTAAAAATATTCTAGGGAGAATTGGAATGCTAGATCATGTTTTCGAAAAAATATGTACTGTTTCTAAATAGGTGACATGCCTCCTTCTCTCTCCATATAACTAGAATCTTAAAATTTCCTTTGTTTATTTTGTTCTTTTTCATGGCAAATGGAATGTAGTTGAAACAAACTTGAGTGTTTAAGAGGCATAGCCTCCAACAAACAAATTAAAATTTAAAAAAATTAATTGGGACAATTATATGAGTAATTTACTCTTAAGCTCCACTTCTTTGTTATCTAGATTGTAGATAATTTTCCCAATTTATATTCTACCTCTTGGTTTTGGAAATTTATTTACGCTTAAGATGGAGAGTTTAGGATGCAGAGTATTCTATATCAATTAGTGTGGGATGTTTCCTTGAAGAGTCAAGTGTTGTTTTGCCACCCAGGTGACCTGTGTTGATGACTTAGCAAGTTAATCTCTGACAGTAGGAAGGGACATGGGAGGTGCACTAACTCTTTCAAATCTTTAAGCACGTCATGAAATAAATCTTTGAAAAGCTCCAACTGAACTAATTCCATAGAAGTAATGTATTAGCAGAGAGTAATTAATTTTTTTTTATATAGGAGTACCAACAGTTCTTTCAATTTAGCCAAATTTCTTAGGTTAAAAAAAGGCCAAGTCTAGCTTGTAAAAGCAGATTCTCTCTCTTTTTGAAATACTTTTCAACTTTTAAAGGTTACATGTAAATGGATATATTAACTTAGATTTTTTATTGCTTTTTCTTTCAAATACCTGTACTTCATTAAGGTGAAAGTCACATAACATAAAATTAATCATTGTAAAGTGAACAATTCAATAGTATTTGGCACATTCACATTGTTGTACAACCATAACCCATATCTAGTTCAAAAAAATTTCTATCACTCCAAAGTAAAACTTCTTAAGACCTCTTTATTTTGTTGTAAGAGTTCTCTATGTATTCTAGATACAAATTCCTTATCAAATATATGATTTGCAAATATTTTCTCCCATTCAGTGATTGTCTTTGCACTTTCTTGATGGTGTTCTTTGACATACAAAAGTTCTAAATGTTGGTGCAGCCCTATTTATTTATTTATTTTTGGTTGCCTATGCCTTTGGTGTTACAGGTAATTATCCATTTCAAAATACAAAAATATTTATGCTTGTGTTTCATTTTAAGAGTTTTGTAGTTTTTACTCTTACATTTAGGTCTTTTATTCATTTTGAGTTATTTTTCACATATGGTATGAGGTAGGGGTACACATTTGTTCTTTGCATGTGGATATCCACTTATCCTAGCACCATTTATTGAAAAGGCTATTCTTTTCCCCATTGAATGGTATTGTCACTATTGTCAAAAATCAATTGATCATAAATGTGAGGGTTTATTTCTGGACTCTCAATTCTATTCTGTTGATCTGTGTGTCTTTCTTATGCCAGTACCATAGTGTCTGGATTGCTATATCTTTTGTAAAAAGTTTTGAAATTAGGAAGTATGATTCTTTCAACTTTGCTCCTCTTTTTAAGATTGTTTTGTCTATTCAGGGTCTTTTACATTTCTGTATGAATTTTAGAATCAATTTGTCAATTTCTCAAAAGAAGCTAGTTGGAATGTTGATGGAGGTTGTGTTGAATCTGTAGGTCAATTTGGGGAGTATTACCTTCTTAGTAATTGAGTTATGTGATCCATGAACACAGCATAGCTTTTCATTTATTTAGGTTTTCTATAATTTCTTTCACTAATGTTTTGCAGTGTTCTTAGTATACATTTTCTACTTTTTAATTAAATTTGGCCTAAGTATTTTATTCTTTTTGATGCTATTATAAATGGATTTTTAAAAATTTCACTCTTGAATTGTTTATTGCAAGCATATAAAAGATTGATTTTTGTATATTGGTTTTTTTTTTTTTTTTAGTTGTTAAACAGTGTATTTCTGGAACGAGAATAGACACACATATCACAAGAAATGAATGATTCCATATGAAAGGAGACCCAAATCCATATCGGAAATACAGTGCAAATAGCATTATTTTATATCAGAAATTGTTATCAAGTTTTGCTTCCTTGGGTATGGGGATTGGGAGGGACAGCAGCTTGATTAGGATAATTCCTATCAGTGGATAACTAATATCTATCATGAGCTGTTAAACAACCAGGATGCCTAGAAGAGACTTTGGAATTTCTATTTTTGTCTTCTGTTTTTCTTCATTTAGTGGCGCCAAAGGGCATTTTAAAGAATAAGTTACAGGGTAAGTTATTTAAAGGTAAGTTACATAAATGGAACGATTGTTTGGTACACAAAAATAAATGAAAAATGTGAATTTCAATTTTAAAAATAATTTAAAGTTATATGTTAAACTGGGAAAAAATATTTGTAATGTAAATTATAAAGGACACCTTAGTATGCAAATCCTCCTAACAAACCAATCAGGAAGAAATAAACACTTCAATTTAGGCAAAGGACCTATAGAAGTACTTCACACTAAAAGATATAAAAGCACAAATACATGAACAAATGTCTTAATTTCACAAAGAAATACAAAGGAAAACAACAATGACATTATTTTTGCTTATTAAATTGACAAGCATAGAATATACTTTTAATAATTATTGTTGAGGAAGCAGCAAAATGTGTATCTGATAGAAGTATAAATTGATCCTGTATTCATATGTGGCAATATGTTGGCAATTTGAAAAATGTTCATGCGTTTTAACACAGCAAGTTCACTGCTTGGCATTTATTCTGTAGAAACTTTTATAGATGATCACAAAGATTTATGCATAAGGATATTAAACAAAGTGATCAAAATTTAGAAACAATAAAAAAGTTTCTCAACATAGAACTGGTTGGATAGTATACTGCAGTACAAGGAAAACTGCACAACTATTGAAAAGCACAGAATAGAAGTATATGTAATTATATGAAAAACACATTTTAGTAAATTACTTGAAAAAAGCTTATACACCTACATAATTATGATGATTTTCTTTTGGTGGTAAGTTTGCTGTAATTTTTTTTTTCTTTTTTTTTGTTTTCTTGCACTTTCTAAATTTTCTTTTTTTAGTTTTCTAGCACATTTTTTTCTCTTTTAATTTTTATTTTGAAATTGTGGGGAACAATTCAGGGTTAGGTATACAAATGTCCATTGTGCAGGTACCCTTTTGATGAGGTGTGCCCTCCCTTCCCCAGTTGAATATTGATTACTGTCATTCCCAGCAACCCACCCCCTATCCTCCTCCCTGCAGTATCCCGCTACTTTCAATCCCTTTCCTACAGTAATACAGTAGTTGTTCAAGGTTCACTTATGACTGAGAACATGCGATACTCAGCCCTTTGTTTCTGTGAGAGATCACTCAGTATTATAAACTCTAATTCCATCCACATTGCTGCGAATTTCATGATTTTGTTCTTCTTTATGGCTGCATAATATTACACTGTATATATGTACCACATTTTTTTATCCAGTCCTCTTTTGATGGGCAGCACGGTTGGTTCCATGTTCTTGCTATTGTGAACAATGCTGCAATAAACATGCATGTGCAGGTATATTTCTTATAAAGTGATTTGAGTTCTTCCGGGTATATTCCCAGTAGGGGGATTGCAGGATCATATGGAAGGTCAATTTTTGGACTTTTAGGAATTGCCACACTGATTTCCACAAAGGCTGTACTAGTTTACACTCCCACCAACAGTGTAGAAGTGTTCCCTTTTTGCCACATCCTCTCCAGCATCTGTTATTTTTTGAGTTATTGATGATGGTCATTCTGACTGGAGTTAGGTGGTAATTCAGTGTAGTTTTAAATTGCATCTCCTTGATGACTAGTGAGGCTGAACGCTTTTTCATGTTTCTGTTGGCTGCTCGTATGTCTTCTTTTGAGAAGTGTCTATTCATATCTTTAGCCCACTTTGTAATGGAGCTGTTTGTTTTTTTCTTTTCAGTACATTTGAGTTCCTTGTAGATCCTTGATGTTAGGCCTTTGTCAGACATGGAGTTGGCAAATACTTTTTCCCATTCTGTGGGCTGTCTCCCTGCTCTCTTGATAGTTTCTTTGGCTTTGCAGAAGCTTGTCAGTTTGATGAGGTCCCACTTGTCTATCTTATCTCTTATGGCTGGGCACTTCAGGTTTTGATCAGGAATCAGTTGCCAGTTCCAACTTACATAAGAATGTCTCCTGCATTTTCTAAGGTTCTTACAATTTGAGGTTTTACATTTAGGTCTGTGATCCATTTAGAGCCTATTTTTGTGTATGGGGTTAGGTAGGGGTCCTGTTTAAATCATCTGCATGTGGTCAGTCAGTTTTCCCAGCACCATTTACTTAATAGGTTCTCCTCTCCCCAGTAGTGGGTGGTGGAGGCTTTGTCGAAGATGAGTTGGTTGAGAAATTGAGGTTTTGCTTCTGGAATCTCAATTCTATTCTATTGGTGTATATGCCTGCTCTTGTACCAATACCAGGCTGTTTTGATTATTGTAGCTTTATAGGATAGTTTAAAGTCTGGGAGTGAGATACCTTCTGCTTTGATTTTTTT